CTGAAGTCCCGCGGACAAAACTCTAGCTGTTGGATGACAGATTCCCGAACTGTCAACATCAAAATAACACCCAATTAATAATTGGGTTCCGACACATAACCGTAAGTCCATGCTTGGGGTAAAAGACTACTTTACCCCCAACTTAGCTTCATTCAAGCCCAAGGCCCAATCCAAAGGCCCAAAAGTCAAATAATGAACCAAAGCCCAACATATGGCCCAATTTTCCAAATAGGGCCCAAACCTTTACATGGTCTTACCCTAAGGCCTAACCATTTATTCTAGTCCCAACACTTGGCATTCCGATGGTCCAATGTCTCATAATCATCACGGCCTATTTATGGCCCATCTATGGCCCAATTTTCCAAATTGGGCCCAAACCCCTCACATGGGCCTTACCCTAAAGCCCATACAAATATTCTAGTCCATATACTTGTTCTTGGATGGCCCATCAATAGGCCAATCACCAAAGCCCAATAGAAAGGACCAACTCAAGGCCCAAGGAAAATTAGGGTTTTCACATAAAATGACGATTAGGGTTAAGTTATCTTACTTAACCCAATAAGGAATTAATCCATTAACTCCATCACTCTACTAGGTCAAACATACAATGTGGTTGGGATTAATTCATAATTCCAATCCAATGGTCCAAACATGCGGGTCCCTACACTTCCAAATTAACATATCCCAAAATTAGAGTTTTCTAAATCCTAATTAGGGTTTCCAACCCCATCGCGTTCCAATTAGTCCATTATTTAAGCTTTTAGGTTAAGTAATTGTTAATTAAGTTGGGCACCATCCATTACCACCTCGGGTAGTGGTGGTCAACGGCGGCTCACATCGGTGGCCACCACCTCACGGTGGTGGTTATGAATTTCCTTGATTATTTTGGCCAAAATACAATTATACACACAATATCCAAAAGAACACACACATAAAATAACACACAGACACGCACAACCACCCTTATGGTGGCCGACGGTGGTACAAGGTGGCAGCCACCACCTCACGGTGGTGGTGGTGGGTTTTTCGGCCTAAAAAATCACACATACATCATCATACCCATAATGACCCATAACATACATTCTCACACACATAAAAACACACACACGGCCACCTTCCACGGTGGTCGGTGGTGACGGGAGATGGCAGGAGGCGGCCATGGTGGTTCTTTTTCCCGGTGTCCGGCCAACAACAACCATATACTCTTCACGGAGAAACAACAGAACACCTTAACGCGAGCCCATGTGCCATACGAATGCAACTGGTCCCTACTAATGGTGGTGAACCTCGACCAGAGCATGAAAGGGAAGATTGCTCGAACGATGGCAGCGGCGGCGACTAGCTGCCCTAGAATGGAGTCAGAGGCAAGGGCAGCTGGAACATCACCGACGATTGTCACGGGCGGCTACGGATGGTGACAGAAAGAAGAAGGAGAACGGTGGAGGTCTGGCGGCAACGGTCGTCAACTCCTCGTCTTAATCGGTAGTAGAACGGCGACAATACCACGCGAGCGGTGGTTCCCGGCTCCGACTGCGGTGGTTGACTCTGGTGGTTGGCGACCTCAACAACGGTGGCGGTGCGACGTCGAAAATCACAGAAGTGAAGGTGGCGGCTAGAGATAGCTTTAGGTTTAGGGTTATGTGGCATGGGTGACGGGTTTATATACTTGGTCATATAAAACTTCCTCCATATTTACATTTCCAGCCCCTCCATCTGAATTCCTTTCAACATAAATCCAACATTTACCAATTCAGCCCTCAGCATTCAAAAATCATTTCAACTTAGATCCAATATTTACCAAACACCCCGTGAGCTCTTAATATCTTTACAAAATAAATCATGAAATTACACTTTAACCCCCGAAAACCCAAATTATATCATTTGGCTCCCCAAAACCAACACCCCGCTGAATATTATGGATTTTAGGACTAGTATTCATTTATAAATTTTATCTATTTATTTATTTAATAAGCGGGATGTCACAACTCTACCCCACTTAAATTAGATTTCATCCTCGAAATCATTCCTTACCATTCCCAGCAATCCAACAACCTAAGCAACAAGACCATAACCTCAAGCATCCCACAGCCTTCACAACGCGACCGAAACCAACCTTCACAAGGTTCTAAAACCCGAATATTAACGAAATCCTTGCATCATGATCACATTTACTCAATCTGAAATCTAAAGTCTTATATGGTTCGTCTCCCTGACAGACCGCCCGTATAGAATCATTATTGCTGAATCCCTGCATAGCCCTTATACTTGACAGTAGGCTCAGATAATCTTTCGAGTAGGAGAATCATCCCTGCAACGGTTAGACTCAGAAGAGAGCTGCACAACAGGGTCAAATCAATTACTCTGAGATTATTCAATCCCGTTGTGAGTGACTTAGCATTACCCAAGCAATTCATATACTTCTCATACACACGAAAACCTAAATCGCTAATACTGCCCAAAACATGGAAACTGTTCGAATCAGTGTACTGCCTCATGGCTGCTCTCCAAAATCCACCGAGACATCCCTGGACCCAACTTATCTGGAATACTGAAGTCCGTCTTGGTTGCTGAGCCAAGAGCAACCTCACAGTCGCCCCACGTTACTTCCGAGGAGAACTTCGTCTATCGAAATCTGCCCTAACCATATTGCCACTCACGGCTCCATTATTCCTTCTGATCTACCTGATCATAAAAGTCTGACTATCTATCGTCATCGAATCTAATACGAAAAGTGAATGCTACTAGAACCACTGCAGTCTTACATCACGCCTGATCTCCAACGACCTACCGTTTTCTGATTCCAATCATGCTGTGGTCCACCCACAATCTTGCGAACTGGCCCACCCTGGCCTAACACTACTAGAAAAGCAGCCTTTTACGACGCTCAATGCATGTCGTAAAACGCTCAAATGATGCGTAAATGCGTGTCAAGGAAGGCCCTGTCATAATGAGAGACGACACGCTTTTGCGCGTCGTCTATTACGATGCGCATTTACGATGCTCATTTACGACACACAGTGTGTATCAAGGAAGGTTCTGTCATAAAGGAAGATGACACGCATTTGTGTGTCGTAACCTTACGACGCGCGTTTAGGACACACATTGTGTATCATTAAAGCCCCTGTGATAAATGAAGATGACACGTATTTGCGTGTCATAATTTTAAATGTTTTAAAAATATATACTTTTGATAGAATTACTAATTTTCAAATTAAAGAACAGATTGAAATTATCGTAATACAATATAAAATACCATATATAAGAACGATAATTCATTTCAATAAAATATCACATGTCAAACAAGTTACCTAACATTACATGTCAAACAACACTACATGTCAACACTAATAACACTTAAAAACGTGTTTTTTCCTGCATTTAGAGCACCCACTATTCCTATATCAGCAACCAACTTTAGGTCCAATTCCAACCCCATGTAAAAGAACAACATTAGAAGATCAACATTTGCTTGATTTGATGATTCAACATTAGTTTCCCTTGGACCT